GAAAGCAGCTCTGTACTTTTGATTTTACATCCAGCAAATCCAAGGCAGACGCTCCCCCAAAAGTGAAAAAGAGGCAAAGAGTCTCATCTTTTATGATGCTTTGGTCAGCCTAAAGAAAAATCTCTCGTTTTTTTTTTCTCCCCTCCCCTCCTTTTTTCCAACTTTTTTCCCGGAGGGAATTTGCTGATTTTGAGATGATTTTTTTTTTTTCGCCCACTTTGATCCTTCAAATCTGCCTTTTGCCCTCTCGCCGATTTGACAGCTGCGGTTATCCTTCGGGCAGTGATGAAACTGTTTGCTTTGCCTCCAACTTTGTTAGATGTCATTGAAGTTGGTCGCTTTAATGTAATCATATTATATATTTGACGATATATTCTGTACATTGCTAACAAACTTGACGTACAGTGGTTCCGGCCGAAGAATTCGAGCTCATTATCACATTGCCATTGGGTTAAGCAACAGTTTCAAATTCTAGCAAATTTAGCACAAATGAAAAATAATTAGGGATGATGGCAATGTTGCCAAATATCAGAACAGGAATTTTCCCCACTAGATTGGCCAATACTTGATTTGAACGCAGCAAATACCATTGTATAAATCACAACATCTCCTACTTATATTCGCCTTGAATGCCACATGCCAATCGCCTTGTAGGTGAGCCTTACCCAATACATAAACGAAGCGGTTTGCTACGATCCAGTAGAATTAGTAAAGCTGATATGTAAAAGCTTAAATTCATCGATAACTTTTAACTTAGGGTTAATATCACGAAAAACCCCAAATTAGTACACTTGTGATAATTTTACCTCAAGCTAATTTTTTTACCACGAAAAACCCCAAATTGATACACATGTGACAAATTTACCCAAAACTAATTTTTTGACCACAAAAAATCCCGAACTGGTACATTTGTAACAAATTTACCCTCCGTTAGTTTCCATTAAATTGAATTAATACCACAAAAAATCATAAACCGGTATGCCTGTGACAAACGAAGGATAAAACATAAAATTGGTACATCTATCAATTGTCGCGTGTCATTTGACAAAATAATTTGACAATAAAATTTAACAGAAATAAACTGAGAGTAAATTTGTCACAGGTTGTACCAGTTTGGGGTTTTTGGTGGTCAAAAAATTAATTTGGGGTAAAATTATAACAGGCGTACCAGTTTGGGGTTTTTTGTGGTATTAACCCTTTAACTTATCAAACAAAGCGGTTTGATGCGTGAATACTCTAATGTTTTATGTCTCTATCTTTACTTGTAATCAAGGACAAAGAAATTCTCCAAATTCTTTTATTCGTTTTAATTTATTTATTTATTTGGTTTTCGTGGTCCATTTTCCTTCCTTATATTGACTTCTCGAGCATACTTAAGATCTAATTGTATTAGGTAAACTCTTGTCAATATGCTTTAGTGACGATGGATGTGGATAGATTTATATACAAAATTGATAAACAGTCCTGAGTCTGCCACTTAAAATATAAAATCATTATATCTCCTTCAAATCAATAAAGTCTGCGAATATAGTGTCTTTCAATAGCATGTAGGTAAGTTATACTTTCATTATAATGTGACAAGTTGGAATTCCCCCTTTTCAACTCGAACAATTGCTTCCTGACTTTCTTATATGGGTACTTACCGTACTTTAAGGATCAGCTGCTATGCAAAAAATAAAGATAATATCTTTGTTTATTAGAATAATAGCTACTAGCTAGAGCTTCTTATCCAGGAAATTCACCTATATTCTTTAGTGATTGCTTACCACGTAATTATTTATAATCTATTTTTTATTGGGACAATTATTAAAAAAAAATTTAAACCTATTTCACTCGTGCCAATTCAGTCCTAAACAATTTGATTGTGCCAATTTAGTTCTAAACATTTTCATATTTTGCCAATTGAGTACATCCGATCAAGTTTGGTCGGAAATTGGTGACGTGGACGCCAGCAGTCTGACGTGGAATGGCCGACATTGACGTGGACATTTTAAAATAATTTTTTGAATTTTTTTTTATAATTTTTCAAATTTTTTTCTATTTTCTTTTCCTTAATTTTTTTGGAATGAGGGCCGACGAGCGCATTTCAGCCTTCACCTGTGGCCGGTGACCCTTGTCAGCCTTAGTCTTACAGAAAATAGAAAAGAATAATGAAACAAAAAAATTATAAAATAAGTAAAAAAATATTAAAATATTATTTTAAAATGTTTATGTTCACGCTAGCCGTGCCACATTGGACAGCTAGCGTCTACATCAAAGATTTCCAGCCAAAATTGGCCGGATAAACTCAATTAGCAAGCATGAAAAGGTTTAGGACTATATTGACACGATTGAAAGATTTTGGACTAAATTGGCACAAACGCAATAGGTTTAGAATTTTTTGGCAACTTCCCCTTTGCTTATTAGTATTCTCAAATCTTATATGTATCAAATACCAATCTTTACTATGACACTTTGATAAGGGGAAAATGAGCTTTCTTGGTACCAAAAACTGAATTTGTCATTGACATTTTGTTGGGGCGTGAGGAAAAGATAGGGGGAACAAAACGTTGAGGGAGAAAAATGGTTGAGGAATGGGGTTGAAGGTCTAATTTCTTCATTATACATGCAAGAGGTAAATCACGTATTGGCGCAATTGGTTGAGGCGCTAGGGATTTCAGGTTCAAAAATTTGAAGTTATCCATTATCAAGTACTTATGGGTGTTACCCACCCATCGGTGGCCGCGTTAATTTGCGCTCAGTTCCTTTCACGAGAGGTCCTGGGTTCAAAACTCGCCCATCGGTGATTTAAGTGGGGGGTCGTAGCGGTGGGATGCTGCGCTAGCCCCCCTCGAGAACTAGTCGGGCATCACCGCTTGTTTGAGCCCTAGCTCGCTGGCCGCGCGGACACCTCGGTTATCAAAAAAAAAAAGTACTTATGGGTGTTAATGGGTCAAGGTCGGGTCGTTTATTTGAGTCGACTAGGTTTCATTTGCGATACCACCCAATCCACTAACCCGTTAATACAAATATAATATAAGTTGGGTTTTGAAACAAACTTTGTGAATAAGTTAATTTTTTTCTTTTTTATCTTATCGAGTGATGTCTTAAACCTATTATCACGTGATAAATTAAAGTCGATTTATGTCCTGAAAATAGGCTATGTTTGATTGCATGTGCAATGTACTATCTAGGGTGTGTACATCGATCCTGGTCTAACTCGGGAACCGGATTGGAACGAACTGAATCGGCCGATTCTAGGTGGTTCTCAAGGCGATCTGTCCGGTTCCCAATTCCAAAAATTTGGAACCAGAAATAACCGATCTAATTCCCAATTTCACATAAGGTACCGGACCAACTGGACCGCTCGAATCGGGCCGACAAACCAGCCGAGATTTCTTAATTTTCTTTTTATTTTTTATTCTGAAGCAAACCCTAATTAATAGATTAGTTTTTTTCCTTTTAATGTTGAGAAACTCTCGCTCGTAGGGATAGAAGAAACCCAAAAAAAAAAAAAAAATCACCAAAAACTCCGGTTCGGTCCAGCTCCAGGACCGGATGGGCCACTTCCCGGTTCCCACAAACTAAGAACCGACTCTGCCCGGTCCGATTCCAGGTTCCCGGCAATCACCCCCGAGTGCTATCAACAAAACCATACCATTCCCCTCCTTCGACATGAAAATCCACCTTATATGTTCTAAAGATATTATTCCGAAAAGAGGCGATGCATAAATTTAGCGAACTGCCGTGCGTTGCTCGCCTCCTCCGGGTCAAAGGCGGAGAAATTTACAGCCATAGTCTCATGATTGTAAATTGGGGAAGGGAAAGTTTTCCGCGACTTGTCAGCAGACACGAAAGGACCGCCACGTGTCGGAACCGCAGCGAGTAAAGACAGAACCAAGGTCGATTGGTCCCCCCCTCCGTGGGCCCCCAGGCCGTAATTTTCCCTCCCTCGAAAATCAAGATTAAAAAAAAAAAATCCCCCCAAAAAATTGACAGCTATTTCGCTTTCTTCCCTTACCGTGCAGCAGCTTTCATCTTCTGGTCTGGTGCGTTTTAAGCACATGAGGAAAATGACAGTGGAGCACAAAAGACGCCAAAGAATTTCGCATGGGAAATCCCATGGAAACCGAGATCTAATCCAAGAAATTTTGCCTTAAATTAAACTCCCTCTCGTAATTAATTTGTCGACCCCGTGATTAATTTCCCCTGTTTATTTTTAGAAACGTTGCCCTCCGTCCCAATATCGTTGTCTTGATTATCATGAAATATGGCGGGTAATCGAAATGGTTAAGAATCTGTGTGTGGATCGGGCGGGAAGAGAGCGCCGACGCGTCGACGCGTACCGCATTGAGCACGCGACGACGACGCATATGCGCACTCTTCTTTAGACGGAAAGGCGTGTCCAGATAAAGTGCATATGATAAATCGGGCGATTCATTAATAGATTTGGATTTAGACGACGGATATGCACATAACATAACAGGCATCGGATTGACGAGTTTCCTTCCTTGCGAGGGGGTCGGTGGCTTCGCTGATTTTTCCACCCGGGCGCTACGAGGCCTCTCGTGTTTCCGATTATGCAAACCCCCCAAACAAGGACGCGGGTTTAACTTGACATATATGACCCAAATGACAATTTTGTTACTTTGAGTATGGAATAAGACATTGCTCGCATAGCGAGTGAAAAGATTCTATGATTTTTTTTTGCGTTGCACTTCTCATTTTGCACTGCTCAGAAAAAGGGAAAAACAGTGAAAATGGAAGGAGGAAACCTTAAATTTTTCACGTAAAAATTCATCGTATGGTTTGCAAATCTGGACAAATTTTGTGAAAAACCACCTTCGTCAGTAGTATATATCTTATGCACACCCATCATTTTCTTTTGATGCTCTCTCTCTCTCTCTCTCTCTCTCTCTATATCTGCCTTTTACCCTAAAAGGATGTCCTCCTGCCCTTCATAAACCCTCCTCTACATCAGTCCCTTTCAGCCTCCAACGCTCTCTGTCTTGAGTGCTTGAGAGGGAGGGAAGAGGGAGAGTGTGCTTGAGGACCTGGTTTTTTTGCTTCATTTCATAGGCTTCTTCTTTGGTTTGATTGATTTCTTGATTCATTTGTTATAAAAATTTGTTGGCAAAAGGATTCGTGTGTCTCTCCCTTGACTCTCCATCATCAACGTCAAGGACCTGTGCTGGATATAACCATCTCTCAAAGATTAAAAAGACAAAAGGACAGAGGCCCAGATTTTTTTTTTTCCTTCTTCTTCTTCTTCTTCTTCGTTGAGATGGCACCGAGCTTTGACCGTGCAGTCCCGAGCCTTCTGTGTGCTGAAGACAACACGACCGTCTTTGGCGATAACGACGGTGATGGGGCCGTGGAGGAGGCCCTTGAGACCACATGGCACCAACGGGGCCATCGTGGGCATCATCAAGACCGGGGCTTTGAGGGTGGAGATGAGTTGCTGCCGATGCAGAGTGAGGAGTGTTTGGCCGTGTTGCTGGAGAAAGAGGGCCAGCATTTGCCTGGACTTGATTATTTGAACAGATTGAGAAGTGGGGATTTGGACTTGGGAGCTAGAGCTGAGGCTGTTGATTGGATGGGCAAGGTCTGCATTTCTTGTTTTTTTTTTATTTTATTATTTCCTCTTTGTGGACGTGGATGTGATTGGACTTGGGTTTTCAGTCTTCATTTTGGTCGGTTGATTGTCCCAGTTATTGTCATTTTAGATGTCATTGATGGTAGAGTTTTTGGTTTTGCTGTTGGTGTTAGTGCATTGATAACACACTTTGGTTCACGACAATTTCAGTGTTTTTCTTACATATAATGGGAATGGTCCTGCATTTTCCTGATTTGTTTGGTTGAAAGATCGCTTGTTCAGTTGATGATGATTGTGCTCACTCCATCAATTCAACAGGTTCATGCCCATTTCAGCTTTGGACCACTCTCTGCATATTTATCGATCAACTACTTGGATAGGTTCCTCTCGGCCTATGACTTGCCTGTAAGTTCATAAATTGAAAGTCGAATCACGTATGGGTTTGTTTAGCATTGATGTTTACTCGTCTATTGCATTGCATCGAATTGGATTTCCACAGTGTCTGAACATTTTTACTGTCCTAATCTCAGAAAGGCAAACCTTGGATGACACAGTTGTTGGCTGTGGCATGCTTATCTCTAGCTGCCAAAATGGAGGAAACTGAAGTGCCTCTCTCTCTAGATTTACAGGTTTGAATCTTTTCATTCATTGTGTCATTGATTTTTTGTATGCAGAATTCGATTTCATTCCGATTCATCTGATAAATATGATGCATGTCGCAGGCTGGTGAATCTAAGTTTGTGTTTGAAGCTAGAACAATTCAGAGAATGGAACTCCTAGTTTTGAGTACATTGAGCTGGAGAATGCAAGCCGTGACCCCTTTCTCCTATTTAGATCATTTCCTTCGCAAAATCACTGGTGGAAACGTGCCTCTCCGAACATTGATTTCACGATCGGTCCAACTCATATTGAGTATCGCGAAAGGTTATCCCTCTTTTAAGTGTTGAAGTTGCCCCAAGATTAGGAAAACTGTTCTTTCAGTTCAGTGTGCCGTAATGTTTGGCTGGGAGATATTCAAGTGGACTGATGTATCGGTGAACGCTATGTACATGCAGGGATTGATTTTGTAGAGTTCAGGCCTTCGGAAGTTGCAGCAGCAGTTGCGATATCCATTGCAAGAGAGAACCAATCAATGGACATTGAGCAGACACTTTCTGTTCTCCCTCAACATGTGAGAAAGGTAAACATTGGTTGTCCAAAATGTGACATTGTGTGATTGAAAATGTTCGTCCAAGAATAAACTTAGCACGTTCAATTTTACTCCACTCTTATCATTTCGTATCCAAATTCATGTAAGATTCTTCGGCTAAGATCCTGGTGAACTTCTTTCTGATATAGTGTTGCATTTTCCAGGAGAGGGTCCTGAGGTGCATCGAGCTAATTTCCGACATGGCATTGAGTGTTGGGCTCCCTAAGAGTGGCACTTCAGTGTCCTCTGTGCCTCAGAGTCCAATCGGGGTACTGGATGCTGCTTGCTTGAGCTATAAAACCGACGAAACGGCAATTGGGTCCGGTGCAAATTCCTCACATAATAGCCCGGACCCTAAAAGGAGGAGGACATAGTGATCCCAAAAATTGCTGTTACCTGTCGTTGGAAGCCGGGTTTATTTCACATTTACAAGGGATGAACTTGATTTTTGTATGTAAAGGTGTGTATACTGAAATGCACCAACAAGACATTGTTAGAAACACAACAGAAAAGAAAAGGAAGAGGTGAGAGAAATTGGTTGGAAAAGAACTGGGGAAGACAAATCTTTGGATTATGTGTAATGGAGGAGTTTTGAATAAGTTGGGTCATCAGTTGGAGGATGCAGGAATGGCATAACAGTGTGTGTTCATACTCTTGGTATGAAATGGGAGTTTTGACACCAGCTGTTAAATATTAGACTTCTTAGCAGCTAGGTAAGGACTCAAGGAGGAGATGAGCGAAAGAGATGAGAAAAGATTTGTGTTGGTTGTGAAATACAGTTTTAATTTTTTTTCTCTTTTTTCAATTTTTGATTGGAGTTCGCAAATTTGCATCAGCTAAAAGGGGAGAAGAAATATATAATAAATCCCCAAAAAACATGGTTTTATGAGAGTTTTGTGGACTTGGTTGAATCCATTTTCTCCTGCTTGATTGTTCATTCTGAAGTGTATCCCCCTGTTTTCTGAGAAGTCATGAAGTGGCAGGGCTCTGCAGAGACCAAACATGGCACGCTTGGAAAAAGATTCTTGAGGTGATGCATTCACTTCTTCATATTTTGGGAGTAATTGCTCTCGCTGAACCATTGGATTTGCTTTCTCATGAGACACTGTCAAACACTCCTTTGTTTGACTGTGCTGTCAAGACTCTCGAGGGCACTGACCTGATTAAAAAATTAGTATGAGGCAGAAGGGCCATATGAATGAAGTAGCAACATAAAGATTCGTGCACATAGTTATTTATACAATAATGTAGCAAAGTAACTGCTAGAATTTGGGATTCTACATGAATGAACTACACATTTCAAAACAAATTTGGCATGGAGACTTGGGATTTTGTTCACGAGATCTCGACTTCGATTTTAGAGTTGTGCCTACTGCAACCAGAGATTGTTGCATCAAAAGGGTGTTGTGAGTGTCAAAATTCCGCATGCATTACCAAATCCTTGAAGCTGAGAAATAGTATTTAGTTCGGTATCTTCACAGACTCGCATTGAGTAGTAGTCGACTTTCACAACATTGTCTAAGATTTCTATCTATCCAATCGACCAATGTTTATTACAAACTAATTAATGGGGATTAGGGTGTGCAAAGAAACCGAGAATCACCCGGAACCAGACTGGACTAGCCTAAAACCGGTAGTTCTCACGAGGACCGGTCCGGTTCCCAATTTCAATTTATTAGAACCAGTGAGCACCGATCTGGTTCTCGATTCTAGGCGTGGAACCACCCACCCAAACTGGACCAATATATATGTATAATTGGAGGATTCATCTAAAAATCACACTATCATTTCGTGTCAAATGATATGCAAGAGATGGAATCAAATGTCCAAATAGGGAGCATTCATCCTAAAATCACGGTATCATTTCGTGTTTGATAAACAAGACTCTTATGCAATTTTTTTAAATTATTCTCACATTCTTCCTTGCAAAGAGGTACCCACATAGAAACTAGTTTCACTATGATATTAGTTGATGAATGCAATTTTGTAGAGATTGGGGACCGATTCCATGAACTCACCCAGGAACCGGACCGGATCGGCGATCTAGTTCCCGAGTGAATCCATGGAACCAACGGGCGGTTCCTAGTTCTAATTTTTTGAAACCGATTCTTAATGGACGGCTCTCAGTTTCAAGGTGGGAACCGTCCACCCGGACCATACTCACCTCTAATGGGGACTATAATATGAAGAGTACATTTGTTTTGCGGAAAATATACGTTTTGGAAAACATTTATCAAAAATTGATTACTTGTATCTCTTACAAAAATGATGAATGAAATTTTTTTTCATCATTTACAAAAATATTTAGAGATAAATTGTTAACGATAATGGTAACATTTTTATTGACTAATTATTTTAGTTGATACAAGCAATCTTTTTTTTAAAATATTTTTCAAATTATTCATTTTTCGCAAAATAAACGGACTCTAAGCATCGTGTCATTTTTTACAAAATCATATCAATCTAGATTCAAAAAGGTTTTACCTAGCTTTGCTTGTTTGGAAAACATTATGATAAAAGAAAATACTTTTCAAGAAATCATTTTTCATGAAAATGGCCCTTTTCAAGTTAGGGAATCCATTTTCCTAACTTTAAGCACGTACATTTTCTTCAACATTAATTGATTTTCGATTGAGTGATCATTTTAAGTAAACCAAATGCATGAAAATTCAGAAAGCTAATTTGCAGAAAATTTTTTCACTCAAACAAACACATCCTTTAAAAAAATTGACTAGCGACTTAGGTATGCAAAATTCTGCATGCCATACAATTATTTTGAGCTCCACCATTCTTTCTTCTCTAACAATTTTCTCAAGAAAATGCACTCATTATGTAAATCATGACCTCATGAATATCATGCTAATTTCATGGACCAAATCTTTTTTTTTCCAATAAAACATCTTTTTTTAAATTCTTCTTATTAATATTCATTAATATTGGCAGGCCATTTTCTTGTTAACGAGTGCGTTTGATTCGGCTTTGGAAATGGACTTTGAGGCTCAAATGACTCTAGGAGAAATGCTAAGTATTTGGTAGCTGTTTTGGGGAGCCCATCTCTTAGCCCAGTTCAAGTCCTAACAGCTTTAGGTTTTGAACATTTTCAAAACGCTACTTCAAGAATTAATGAATTTGTTTCCCTTCCAACTTTGCCCTCGCTAAACTTTCGATATTTCACTTTTACCCTCAATGCACGACGTCGCCAGCGAGCCAAATCTGACGCGCCGGCATTTGACCATTGCTCGAGCCCTTCACTTGAGCGCCGCTGGAGCTTCAATTTTCTTTTTTGTTTATACATTTATTTCTTTAAGAAATATAACTAAAGTTCTTTATAAGTGGAATTTTTTCTAAACGGCATTACCAGATACTATTTGCATTTAGAAAAAACCTTTAACCTAAATCATATATGACTGTAAAAGCAATTTATTGAGAAATGTCTATTTTAAAAATGATCGATTAGAGACCTATTTGTCAGATTGGAAAGTTATGCGTTCACTAAAAAGAACATTAAAGATGTGAGGGTCTCTAGACAAATTACATTTTGATAATGTGGAACCACAGAAATTGAGAATTGCAAGATAGACTACTTTGGTCAAGAATTTTGTTTGAACTTTTGGTACAAAAAAGTGATCTCATTTTCTTTAATCCTGCATAGTGAAGTGTGAGAGCACTTAAGTATGCCCGCCGGGCCGCAGCATTCCCTTCGTCCTATCGCAACCGGATAGTCAACGAAGCAGACGAAATGCCCCGGAAAGAGTTGTCTTTGCCGGGATTCGAACCGATGACCACGCTTCACGCGACGTAATTCAGAGCCGAGTCTCCTCCGACTCACTAAGCCCGAGGGGTTACGCGAGCTCGGGCGGCGGCAGGTTCAACCGAAGCTTAATTTTTCCTAGAAGCACCATCAATATCCATTTAAGTACACACGTGTTATTCACCCATTTAACACTGAATGGATGACAATGTGCCAATGATACTTAACTGTGTAATTTGCCAATGGGCTCAACGGTTGTCCCACAGGTTTCATTGGTCGGTTTTGGACATGGAGCTTTTCGGATTCAGCCCATTGGACCGACTTGCCAACTCGAATTTTCACTGGAGTGGCTCGGGTTCATCTGCATCAATTTCTTCTTCTTTTTTCCCTAAAATTTCTGTTCGTTGAATGTGCTGAATTATATGCATAAGGAGTAATGTCTCTAGAGCTCAATGTTGATTTGTCAAAGCAACAAAGAAAAAAGAGTCAACCTTGCTGGGTAAAGACCAGATGAGTGAGCGAACGTCAAGCGTTCACAGTTATCGTGTTCATGACCTTGAAGATCCAAACCCGAGTAACTCTTGCTCGCATATGACCTAATCCACCCAATTGTATGGATTGTATATATCTAAGCCGTTTTGTTATGTTCTGATTTGGCGGTGACTGAGTTAGCTTTTGCACATTAAGATCATGTCCGGTTTTTGAGTTGTCGTGGCCTTTCGTTACGATAGTTCTCATGCCATAATACGATATAGTCGGGCATGGAGTTGGACATGCTCTTTTGGGGGGGATCGAATGTATTTAGGTGCTTTCAGTGTGTTAATTGATCATCTTCCTAACAAATGCATGGGAAATATAAAAACTTTTTAATCAAATTGAATGTGTGAACATTAGGTTCATATTGGCTTTGGCCTATTGTTTGGCAAAATTAAATCACCCCCTTGGCTTTTGCCTATTGTTGGTCCCTTCCTTTCACTTTGTCCCTTTCCATGGATTTTTGCCTTACCCTATTGGCTATTCCTCCAAATCCCTACACAACGGCCACAATCTAGGCATCTTAAAAGGTCATCTGCCGAGATGTTTTGTTGCTCTTCCAAACATTGATGTTGGAAACTACCTAGATTTTGCATTTCCTTATTGACCTCCATAATAGCAATAGTTTCAAAATCGTACCGAGCTAGTTCGCCAAATTAGATTAATGAGTGTTCCGATAGATGGAATCTGTTAAAGCACAGGCTAGCGCGGACAGGGGGACATGGCACCGCGGCTGGCCATCGAAGACCCATCAATTGTACCATCGTAAAAGCAGTCTTCTATCATTGCCCCACATTGATCATCACTGTTTGAGTCAAATTACGAGTACCGGTATAAACGTGGGCAAAAGCATGCTTGCATCTTTCTTTGGCGGTGGGAATACGGCTCCTCTGCTTCAACATTGATCCGACACGGCTGTGGAATTATGTGCTTAAAAAACTCACGGCTCCAATTGACGAAGAAAATTGCTCAATGTCCATCTGAAAAGGCGGCGAATTGGAACGACGACGGGTACCTACGTTTGTTTCAAGGACAAAGAACGGATTTGGTCTTGCGTTCGGACTCAGATGGCATACTCGGATGAACATCAACCTTTTGTTTTTTGCCATTTATAAATATCAAATATCATATGGACGAAGCGACTTTATATACAATAATGAGCCATTAGAAGGAGGGGTTGGGAGGAGTGAATACTAGAATAAATCTACGCGAGTTTGGAAGAGTTGAATTCCTATTAATGTGAAATTCCACGTTCCCACGATACCCTAAAGTTTCTTTACAATATGATTTCGCGGCTCAACAATCTCTTCAGCAACTTAAAATTCAAGATAGTATGGAAATTACAGTTTTAACTATGACAATTCTCCCCTATCGAAGTAATCAAGATTTGGAATCCTCACCAAAGGACATCTCTTCTTCCCTCCGGTCTTGTTAAATCATTTTCTCGCATTACATATTTATTTTGGCAACACCTCCCTAAAAAAAGTCATAAAACCTACATATCGATGCAATTTGGCAGTATATTTAGGGACCAAGAGGAAACACGAGCTTGCTTACTCATAACTCTGGGAGGGTTATAACTAGAACCCTAACAATACCTACAC